CCAGCCACGAAGTTCTTGAACGGAGACACTCTGGGCTTTTCCTCCATCCCGCTGACCCCGCATGGCCCGAGTACACAGCCGGGCAACCTCACCACCTCACACCGCTGCTGTCCAGGGAGGGGAGGGTGCGACTGTCAGCTGTCTGTCTGTGCGTCTGTCTGTGCGTCTGTCTGTCTGTGTGTGTGTCACTGTGTCTAAGCGTGTCTCTCTCTCTCTGTGGACTTTGTCTCTCAGAGCTGAGCGGAAACCAGAAGAACAGTTATTCCTGTAAACAATTTATCTTCACAGTCACCCCTTCACGTGTCCATAATCTCTTTGCTTTGGTCATGTGGCGCACTTTAAACCACTGTTTTATATTTTTGTAGCTTATAAAAATCTGCCGCAGGTGTATTCACAGGTAAGGTTGAAACAGGGGATACAGCGCCCTCTGGTGTTCACAGAGCGAAAGACGTGATTTCTTAACACTGTCCAAAGTAAAAATACTACACTGCAATAGTACAGCAGAGGGTCCTTCACTGCTGAAAAGTCTTCCTTACCTCTGCTGAGGAGGTTCTGCTTTCGGCAGCGTTTGTGCGTCTTCCCATCTGAAAACACAAACACTTTTGAATAAATTCAGATCCTGCAGATGGCGTCATGTTAACGGTCCATTGAAGTTCAGCTTCCATCCACCAGCGTCTTCAAGGTCATCTCCAGGAGTTATTGGTGGAAAATGGCCAAACCCCCCCCCCAGTTTTTCCTAAAAGTGTGATGTGTATCATCAAAATCTACAAAGTAACATAAAACGTGAAATATGCCACATTTGACGTCTCAAAGGTCAGTGGATCGATCTGAAGGTCAAAATGATAATAATGCTGTATAGTGCTATGTTAAACTTCTCTTTCCCATTGTTCATATTGACAACAATAACAAGGACGTGGATAAAAATAAGGAATCATACATGTGGATTGTAAATATTGTGGTACTTTGGACCTCTGACTTCTTATTCCAGGTTAAATAAAGTCAAACTTTCACAAAACATTTTTTTATCTTTAAAACTGTGCTTAAGAGTCTGCTTGTTTGTTCGTACTGGCTACATTGAGGAAAGGATACTGGTATATGGTGACTCTCACATCATAGTTGCATCCTAATATCATCTCACATTTGACCTCTGACCTCAGTTTTACATTTCTGCCTTTATTGATCCTAAAATGTGCTAAATCTTTAAGGAAAGTATTTTCAAGAGGAAGAGAGAACTCTGCTATTATGTAATAACCTCAAGTTATTCATGTCCGGTTGTTTACAAAGTTATCCACTCTTACGTGTTTATATAAAAATTGAATATTATTCCCTTAACAGTATATTACTGCTCAGAGAGAGAGAGATGCCTCGGTGAACGTTTGTGCTTCTTGTTCACACGTCAATTACTGTGACTTGCATATTTTATTCAATAAAACTCTAAAATCTCATGTAGTACAACGTTTAGGCAAATAAAAAGCCAAAGATGATCATTAAAAATGGTGATGAATTAAAAGTACAGACAGTATTTTACTTTTGAAACTGTTCAAATCAAGAATTTCTAAGACTGAAGCACTTTTTTCCAGAAGTGTTATGTTCTCAATCAGACTGGCGCAACAATAAACACGGGACTTTAATTATAATTTTAAAAAGTAATAATAATGAAAGTGATTTTTCCTCATCCAGAAGATTACATGGAGATATTCATAGTTGGATGAAAGGGTCTGTAGCTTTGTCTTTAATATGGACACTTATATTTATCTCATACTGAGGCTGGTACACTTTAATGCCGAGAAGACTTTTTAACTTATTATAAAAAGGCTTTTGATAAGTTAATAAGCTCATTTCAAAATTACACATGTGCTCTTCCTACCAATCACAGAAGCTAACAGCCGAAGAAAAGTCAACAGTTGCAGAGGTCTGAAAGAAATATCAATTTAATTGAATAAAGTATGAAGCTTCTCTTGGATTTCTGAAATTCCTGTTAGTTTCATTTTAAATATGCTCGTCTGTAGAATAAATTTCAGTAGTTTCTCATGCCTGTCCTCCTGTGTGCGTGTTATGTCATGAGTTATATCAGTATGATTATTTATCTTTTTATCAAACGTTCATATTTCTGTTCATTAGTAATTATGCTAATTAGGTCATTTTACACATAAACTAATGAACAATATTATTCCGGCGAATTTGTAAAATAAAAATAATTTCTCGGTATAATAAACCATCAAACTGTCACAGGGGGAATAAATAAATAAAACCACTCAATTTTTATTTAATTAATGGATGAAATCAATGACTTTTCTACAGTCACTGAGTGAAACCAACGACGTTTCTGCCGAATGAAACGGAAAGGAAAAGCGGCAAGTGCAAATGACGTCATCAGCAGGCGCCTACAAGCCCCATTAGCGGGAATCTGACCGTTTGGAACGGGTGGAGGATCAAAGTGAGTCATTTTCTAAAACATACAGACTATTTGAAGCTTCTGATAGCCACGCTTTATCCCGGGAAATCCGGGTGAAGTATTTTAGGGCACGGAGTTAGCAACGCTGTCTGCTCTGGTTTTCGCGTTAAGGATCTGTGGTCACTTCCGGGTTTTTGTTTTTGTTCAGCCTACAGACTTTCTCGTTTAAAACGCGCCGAAACACACACACACACACACGGTGTAGCTCCGGCGATCAGGTCCTAACAGAATAAATGTGCGGCAAAAACTGTGTTTGTGTGGGACAGGTCAGCGCTGAGTCTAACATTTGGTTTGCTCTCTTACAAAGAAATGAACAGACTCAGGTTTTTACGGTACTTAGATTTTAACGACGAGACGGAACAGCCAATCACGGAGGCTGGTAAACATGCTGTGGGCTGCTTTCCTGCAGAGGGTGAAGAGGATTCTTCACTGCATTGAGGGGCTTGTGGATCAAGCACATATTTCAACCAATAACATTCAAATTAAGTTATAACTTCTATAATGTTTATTTTTTGGAAGGACGGACCAGTTGCACGAACCAAAACATGTATGTATATTCCAGATATCTGTAGTATTAATAGAGTCATATGATTACTGCACATTTACCTCTCATCCACTTCTTGGAAGTGTCTCCCAGTCCCAGCTTGTTAGCATGTTTTGGTTCGTGCAACTGGTCCGTCGGGTTATTGTCTCCCCAGAAACATTTCCATTGTGTTTTTTCCGATTTCCGTTGTGTTTTGTTTTCTTTTTGCAAGTGTTTTCTGAAGTTGCAGTCCATTTGGCCTCTCAGGGCCACCGTACAAACCTTCTTCGAGTTACATCTGGCATTTTTATCATTTTTAATTCAGTGATGATGCACATGACGTATCACCTCACACCATAATTTCCTGCTGTGCAAAGCTGCAAAGAGAATGACCTTTGGTGACAGGCTGATCCTCTTCAGATAACAATAAACAGCCCCCCCTTCATGTATGTGAAAGTCAGACTTTAGGAAAGTGCATGTACTGCAGAACCATTCGAGATGTGGTGCAGGGGGCCAGGACGAAAAATGCTGTGCAGTCCAACCTAAAGAGGGACATCTGTTCACCCTACCTGTCTCCTTTATCAGGCGGTGTGTCGCCATGACGCAGAGGAAAAGACCGTCCAGCACACAGAGCTCCTCTCAGAGAGTAAGTCCTTCGTTTCCACCACAGAAGAAATTCTTTTCACTTCGAGTGTCTGCACTGTTACAGTAATGAGACTAATAGCTTTGATTGGTTGGACTTGATGGTTTTTGGTGTTGACCCTGTGGAGGTCTGTGTGTTTGGCGATTATTGCAAGAACCTTATCGTGTCTCCATCTTCTCCCAGAGCTTTTCGACAGCCAGCTGATAAAAGTCAAAGTTACCGTACAGAAACATAAGCTGAATCTGAGGGTGTCAGTGAGTTTCACAGATACTGACTTCAGAGTACATTTTTCCCACGTAGAGACACACCGGCAACTTGGTGGCTCAGGATGAGGATGAGGATGCGACCTTCACTCAGCCGAGTACGTCACAGGTGCAGAGAGGGCTGGAGAAGCTCACACCTGCACAGGTCGACCAAAAGGTGCAGAACAAGGAGAAATCCAGAGTTTGATTCTTAATGATCAGTAAAATGTATTTAATTTTTTTTTCTGTCACTCGTCTGTCTGCAGACTGCTGAGGTGGTGCAGTACTTCCTGGTGAAGGACCAGAAGAAGATGCCTGTACGGCGAGCAGGTACAGACCGAGCAGCCAGGGAGCGTTTGAATACATGGCAGCTTTCCATTGAAAAACCCTCTGAGGTTTATATCAGCTGTGAAATCAAACGGGGGGAACAGTTTGAGTGCTAAGGAACAGAAGTGTGCCACGAAAACAGGCTGCTTCAGTTTGTTTGAAAAATAAAAGTGCTCAGTGTGTCGTGTCGGGCTCTGAAGACGACGTTGTGAGTCTGAGGGGTTTTAAAACCTTGCTCGCAGCCGTGGATGTCACAGACACGCGTATAAAGCACAGTAATGAAAGATAACGTCTCCTCTGTGCCGTTTCAGACCTGGTGAAACATGTGGTGAAGGATTACCGAAACATTTACCCCGAGATCCTAAAGAGGGCGGCGCGCACGTTTGACCAGGTTTGTAGAGTCAGAGATGATCGGCGTCTCGATTTGCAAGTGAAACTGTCTGAGCGCTGCGCTCTGCTGCTCTGTCCAGGTGTTCGGCCTGAAGCTGGTGGAAATCGACCCTAAAAATAAAATGTACATATTGGTCAATAATTTGGAGACGCCTGACAAAGCCTCGCCGATCAGGTGAGTATTCATGCATATATTCATAAACCGGGGAAACGAGTGTCTCAACATCAGCAGCACAAATGTTTGTGTCCTTGTGTGCGCTGTGTGCAGTCTGAGAGGTCTGTGGGCAGAGACTGCAGCCCCATCTAGTGGTGACATCATGTGTTACATCACAACCTAAACAGTTGAACGCTGAGCAGCAGGATTCAGTTATTGAACACCCGCATGTTTTATACTCTGACACAGCCAACATCAGTGCGTCATCAGAAAACCTGCATTTGTGTAACAAGTGTCTGTTTCCTGTAGGAGCCCGTCCAATCCAAAGATGGGTCTGCTGTTAGCGATCCTCAGCGTCATTTTCATGAAAGGCGGCGTCGTCAGAGAGAGTGAGTTTCAGTCCTCCTTAACTAAAACAAAGGCGAGTTGATCTGTGGAAGGACACAAGTTTGACACGTTTGTCTTCCCTCGTCGTGCAGATCTGATCTGGAACACTCTGAAGAAGCTGCGCGTGGACCCCGGGTGAGGCCACGCCCCTCAGTCGGCGCCCAGCTGCCCGTCAGGAGTCGGCACAAATCTGACTTTAAACGTTTCTGTTTGCTGTGCGCAGAGAGAAGCACGAGGAGTTTGGTGATGTGAGGAAGATGGTCACCGACGAGTTTGTGCGTCAAAGGTAGGATGGGCTCTGTCACCGTGGTAACCGTGGACAGTTTAAAGTTCTGATCAAGATGTGAAGTTACTGCGCTGAACTGGGTGTAATCTGATTACCCGACAGCATGTAAACCCCTCCCCACATTTGAAAGCACAGGGCAGGTGTGAAGTAGCTGCGTCCTGCAGTCTGACGATGGCTCAGGCGTCTAAAGGCACCGCCCTGTAAGCAGAAGGTCGCGGGTTCGAGCCCGGCTGGGTCGCTGTAGCGCACTGGTGTGTTCAGAGCCAGTGTCTGTCAGACCGTAGACGCTGGTTTATACCACACCACAGAGCAGCAGGAGGGCGCAGGAGGCCAGAGCACCGCAGCACCGTGCCTGGACCTGCTCCTCCAACATTCCCAAACTTTATGCCTGTTCTGACAAACCATCCTACTTTGGCAAAACGTCCTACCGTAAGTAGTTTATGCACATTTCTGCTGTCACAGAGTCATTCCAGCACAAATTTAAGTAGGTATGACGGTTTGCCACTGAACTTTGCCCATCAGAGTATGCTTGTAGCTCATATGCATAAAGCCAGGATGGTTTGGCACTTCATTTTACCCGTCAGAGTATGTGTGTAGCTGTTATTAACAAAGGTAGGATGATTTGCCACTGATTTTTAGCTGTTAAAGTACGCTTCTAGCTCATTTTCAGAAAGGTTAGCATGGTTCGCCACTGAAGTTTAGCTGTTAAAGTATGCTTCTAGCTCAGATTAACAAAAGTAGGACGATTTGCCACAAAATTTTAGCAGTTTAAGTATGCTTGTAGGTGATATTCACAAAGGCAGGACAATTTGCCACTGAATTTTGTGTTGTGCGCATGCGCAGAAACAACGGGTAGGATGGTTTGCCAGGTAGGATGGATTCCCAGAACACCTGTTAGAAAACCATGTGTTGTGTTTCGGTTCGCATTTCTTTGACATTTTGTCTTCAGTTACTTTTCTGCGTCTGTTTTCGAACGATGCATCGCTTTCCTACAAAAACAGGCTGCAGTGGATTTCATAAAGGGCTTTTTTCCTTCAGCGTTTGTTTTTTGCTGTGTTGTAATTCATGTTTCCAACCTGAAGACTCAGACTTCCGTGCTGTATGCTGGCAGCATCACTGAATGATTATTTAACGTGATTACTCCTCAGTCTGGATTAAAAGGATCTGTTAATGTTGTTTTTTTTTTAAAGTGGTTTTCATCAAAATGTAAAAGGAAAAAAAAAGTGTGAAATTTTCATTCACCCTGAAATTAAACCCACAGCTGTCAGTGGAAGCAGGGACAACATCTGTAAGTGACCCGGCTGATAAGGATTTAAGACTCATAGATATTTGGAGGCTGAATTTATTTGTTACTGTCACAGATGGTGGACGGCCCATCTGTCCCATCAGCACTTATAATGTGGCTGAATTCCCCAAAGTCTCTTTACTGCTTTAAGTTTTCATTTATCTGCAGTTTTATATGTCAGCTCATAAATAATCAGGCGGGCGATCACAGGTCCTGTTGGGAGGCCTCGACTTCTGTAACCAGATGTGATGATCAGCATCGATGCTGGACGTTTCAGTTCGCCCGACCTTAGTTTACAGGAAGATCATGTTTTATTCTAGAAGATGTGAAGAGCAGCTCGCTGCTCACGTTCAGGTTATATCGACTTCCTCACGCATTTACTTACATCTTTTCTGTTAATGCTCAGTTTGATTCCTGTGTGTGTTTGTGCGTGCATGTGTGCAGGTACCTGGAGTACGTGCGGATCCCTCACACGGAGCCCATTGAGCACGAGTTTCGCTGGGGTCAGCGCGCCGACGCAGAGGTGTCGAAAGCCAAAATCCTGGAGTTCATGGGTGAAGTAAGTTTGCTGAGCAGAGCAGGCCTACACCTGCAGATGAAGCTGTGGCTGCTAATGATGTTTTCTTTGTGTCTGATCTCAGCTTCATGAACAGGACCCTAAGACCTGGACTCAGCAGTACCGACAGGCCCACTCCCTCCCCAACTCCAGCCAGGCCTCCAGCAGCAGCAGCAGTCAGAGATAACCACCTGACAGCTTCTCCTGTCTTCTTTTTATTTATCGTGTGTGAAAGAGAAGCTGCTCCAGCAGCGTTTGTAGACTGATCGTGTTACAGTGTGAATCCCGGTTATATCAGAG